GCCCATCTCCTGCATTTTTAATAGCCGAGCCTAGTTAGCATGCAGCACACGTGCGTGGGTTGATAAGGCCCAAGGAGAAGGCAACAAGCCATGCAGGGGAGGAAAAACCTCCTCCCTGCTCCCGCCCTCATCCCAGGATTTGTGTTCCCCAGCAGCTCAGCAGGCTCGCTGGACCAGGGGAGCGGCAGCAACAGCAGGTGTGAAAGTCAGACTGGCCCATTCGGTCCCCAGTACAAGGGGCCAGCCCCCTGGGAAAGGAGGACTCACAAGTAAAGTCTGAAATGCTCCTCAGAGCTGAAGCGTCCTAATTCCCCTTTGACGTCCACTGGGGACGGTCTCTACCTCTCCCAGCAGGACAGAGCAGGGGCCCCAGGAGCCCGGGGGCAGGGCCGGCGGGCAGTGCTGCAGGGGACGTATCCAGGAGCGTGCCTCTCTGTTTCCCCCTTTCTGCTAAGGCAGCGTTAGCTTTAACCTCCTCAGACTTAGAAGGGGAGAAACAGCAAATCCACAGACCACCTGCATTGATGGGAGGGGACGGGAAGTCTGCCTGGACCCAGCGCTGGCGTTTGTCACCGCACACGTGCACCTGAGCTGCTCGAGGAAGGGCGCCCTCCGACCGGCTGTTCGCTTCAGTCTACAGGCCAAGTATGGCTGCTGTTTGCTTGGCTCCGGGGCCAATGCAGCCCGGGCTCCTTTGGAGCAGGGGAAGGGAACGTCAGCCGCGGAGACTGCACGGCCCGGTCGGGTCCCCGGGGTCTGTTCCACCTCACACTCAGCTGCAGGCTCACGTGAGAAAGGAGCGAGAGTTCCTTCCACTTTGGGACTGAGGAGCTCCTGTCTGGAAGCACATTAAAGAGATGGAGGCGCCACCTCCATGTACCCGGGTGGGAGAGGGTGCAGACCCACCCAGGTTCCCAGGGCCTAGATGTCCAGGTCTGTGCTGGACAGGGAACTCGGTCTTAACATTTATTTCATTTTAAATCGTTAACATTTAAAAATAGGTGCTGTGCCGAAACTGGTTTGGCTCATTGGATAGAGCGTCGGCCTGCAGATTGGTCTGAAAGGTCCCGGGTTTGATTCTGGTCAAGGGCATGTACCTTGGTTGCGGGCACATCCCCAGTAGGGGGTGTGCAGGAGGCAGCTGATTGACGTTTCTCTCTCATAGATGTGTCTAACTCTCTATCTCTCTCCCTTCCTCTCTGTAAAATATCAATAAGATGTATTTTTAAAAAAATAGGTGCTGCTGATTCAGTTGTTAGAGAATGTCTAAGTATGTTTGGAACAACTTGGGTATGCAAATCTGTTTGATAATGGTGAAGTTTTAATAAAATCTGAATAGGGGTCAAATATTTCTGATGAAAATTTAGATGTCCAAATTGAGATGTGCTGTAAGTGCAAAAAATACGGGGTTTTGAAGACATAAAAGAAAGAACGTAAGCATCACCAATGACTGTATGTGGACATGATACTATTGTAGGCACGCGAGGTTAAATAAAATATATAATTAAAAACAGAATTTTGCCTTTTCCCCTACTTTTTTAATGTGGCTACTAGAAAATTTAAAATGACACGTGTGGCACACATTATATGGCCATTGGCTAGTGCCAGTCCAAACAGTTGAAGGTAAAACGTTAACAGCCTTCAGGAATGAAAATCTTTCGACCCATTTCATTCAATTCAACAAGTATTTACTGACAAGGCGACTGTGTCTGCTGAGTGTGACCTCCTGTGCAGGTGGCCCCACAGCTACTACTGAGCAGAAGGAACACAGGAAACCTGACCGTTGGCATCACACTGGGAGTCTCAGGGCAGGTAAAAACCGAGTCCACACCAGCACGCCAGGTGGCTGCCAAGGAGGACGTGAATGAGAGAAGGGCTTCGAGGAACCCTGGCCAGTGGGACAGGCAGTGCGAACAGGGAGGACGTGGGCCAGGAAAGAAGGGACAGGATGCTGTGGAAGGAACCTTGGCTTAGCAGTCCTTGCTTTCCCAGGGAACGACCTTGGTTCCTGCTCTTCTCAAGCCTCGGACCTTCCTGGGAGGCCCCGTTTGTACACATGGCTTCAACGCCCTGTCTACATGGACAACTTGCAAATCTCCATTCCCAACACATCTCTCTCTCTCTCTCTTGACCTCGGGGTCCATACATTCAATGCCCACCAACATCTTCAAACTCCACTGACTCCTCAGCTGAACTCATTCTCTACTCCCAACCCTAAATTCTGGACCTTTCTGTCCTTTTCTTGGGCAAGTGACGGGACCAGTCACCTCGCTGCCCAAATCAAGACCCTAGACAGCATCCTCAGCTCCTCCCTTGGTGAGTCCTATACACAACCAGCTCCAAAGTCCTGTGTTGTTTTCTTCCTTAAGATTTCTCCCATCTTGCCCCTTCTGGAGATGGCCACCACCGCTGCCTGGGTCCATGCTGTCATTATGTCTCACCTGGATTACACAAGAGCATCCTCACTTGCTCCTTCTGAGTGGCCCCTCCATTGGTCAGGGTGATCTCACTATAATTGAAAACTGCTCCTTTAAGAGTTCCGTGCAGTTCCAGGGGAAGTGCAAATTCCTGAATTTAGGACATATAGTAGAACTGGATAATCTACCCAGCCCACCTACTCAGTTCATCTGTCTCCCCTGACATGCAAATACTTCTGCCCATTCTGCTACCTTTGCCTGGGACACCCTTTCCACCTTCTTAAAAAAAAAATATTTAAAAAAAAATAATGGTAAAAATTTATATAACATGCTGGTCGGTGTGGTTCAGTAGTTGAACCAGAAAGTCATGGTTCGTGTTAAGTCGGTTGAATCAAATGTGGAGACTGATCTAATCCCAGGTCTTCCCAAAGGCTTGCCTCCTGGGAGGATTTCTGGTGCCGGGCTTCACCTCCCTGGGATCACATTTACCGTTTATCATGTCTTGTGTTCATTTTGTGATCTCCTGTGACCCCGGAGTCTCCTTCCGGCTCATTTCCCTGGGCCCCTCCCTTGCCTCACTTTCCTCATCTGGGTTCTCTGTGGCTCACTTCTGGACTCCGAATGAACTGACGTTATCCTTTTCCATTTTCAAATTCAGTCTGAGTCAGAGCCATTTCTCTACTTTTCCAGAGGTATTAGAGTTCTTGACTTTTATTCCGCTTACAGGAGCTCTGTCCTTTATCACACGTGATGCCAATGACGACGATAACGTCATCGTCAACTAACTATTTAGCGAATGTGTACTCTGCTCCAGACAATGCGCTCGCCGCTTTTATAAGAGGTAGTTCCCTTAGCCCTCACAACCATCCTGTGATGGCTACAGAGCTACTCCTGGCCTCATTTTGCAGGTGAGTAAAACGGAGGCATTCCAAGAGCAAGCAACTTGCCCAGAGCCACCCACCTGAGATTTGCACACAGGCAGCAGTTCTGGAGCTTGTGCTTATATCAGGACACTCAATGTTGCCTCAACAAACAGCCTTCAGGTGCTGGGGTCGCTGAAAAGAGGGAGTGCCCAGAGGCCCAGAGCCACCACCACTGTCACTTTCAGGCTGTTCTCCCCTCACCAGCTGCATCCTCCTATAGGACTGACCTCAGATCCTAGCGGTCAGAAGAGAACAAAGCTTGTCCACGAAGCCCACTGGCAGGACAGGTAACTCCCCTCCTTGGCAGCTGTGGCTAAACACTCGACCACGGGGCTCTTTACTTGGCCTGGGATAATCAGCTCGTTACAAAGTCATCGTAATTTCCAGCATGCCACGACAAACCGATTGACAGATGATTTTAGTCCACTGCTATCCTAGGTATGGACTTAAGTGTAATTAACTATCACTAATCAACAGAACACTTTTTCTCTTTAAATATGTAAATCGGACAGATTCCACAATGATCCCCTCCCTGCCTGTCTTCATGAGGCTCTGTACCAAGCCAATCCTTAAGTGTTCCAATTTGGGTCCCTCAGCATTTGAAGAATCAGGCATACCTTGTTTTATTGTGCTTCACTTTACAGATGTTGCATTTAAAAAAAAAATACTTTTATTGATTTGAGAGAGAGAGAGAGAGAGAGAAGGGGAGGGAGAGAGAGAAAGAGAGAGAGAGAAACATCGATGTGAGAAACCACAATCAGTTGCCTCCTGCAAGTACCCTGACCAGGGATCGAACCTGCAACCTGGGCTTATGCCCTGACCGGGAACTTTTGCATGCACGGGATGATGCTCAACCAACCGAGTCACATTGGCCAGGGCAGATACTGTATTTCTTTACAAATGGAAGACAAGATCCTCTACCAGCAAAAATACTGTAACTCACTTTGTGGTGAGACTCGCTTTATGGCAATGATCTGCAACCCGCAGTACCTCAGAGGTAGCCTGTACGCATCTTCTGCTTCCTGTCCTCGATTTCACTCTGGTTTCCTATCTGTCCTTGCCACAGGTAGCTTTTATGACTTTTGATAAAGGCTGAGATGCAACAATGCATTAAAAGTCTCCGATTTTTCGGTCCCCTGCAATCAGCTCTGTCCCACCCCATCAAAGGGGTGACCTTCTCTTTGGATTTGCTCTCTTCCTCGCATGGTCAGTCCCCCCATCGCCTGCCTCTGCTGGCAGCTCTATCGGAGGAGCAGAATCCAGCTGTTCACAGCAGGGAGGCTCTGCGGGGGGGCCTGCCTAGCTCCCAGGACTAGGCCTGGTTCCCCGTGGGGCAGACTGACTGTGCCTTTGATTATTCACACCAATGCTGCTCTTCACTGGGGCAGAACATTGACAAGCGACCGCATCCCTGAGGGACATTTCCCTGTTTCCCATTCCTTAGACACAACTTGGCTCAGCTCTTAGGCATCCGGCACTTTAAGGTTCCGTGTTCCCTCCCCTGTTTCGGTTTCTCACCCCGTCATTTGGGTTTTCTGTCCCTTCCCTCCTTCGAACATGACACCCAGGCACGAAGCCAGAGGGTAAACACCGTCTCCCGTGGTGATGGGGACGAGCATCGAGGACAGACGGCTGCTGGCTGCCGGCGCCGGACACTTACCATGGTTTGTCCCTGGATCCTTTAGCAGGAAAGACCGTGTGCTGTTTGCTGCTGGAGGTAAGTAGATTGTCTTTGGGCGTTTTGAATGGCTTTGAGGTGCTGCTGGCAGAGTTATGGCCGCTGACACAGGCTTTTGTTTTCACCTGTGCTAGTGATGTCCTGGAGTTGGAGGGCGGAGACGCTGGCGAGGGAGAAGGTCTGCACATTGAACCGTGTCTTCTCTCTACAGAGGGAGACAGAACGGAGCTCAGCACATCCTTGGCAGCGGGTGCGTCTCACACACTCAGGCCTCACTCATGCAGCAGGCAGAGAGAGAGTGCTTCTCTCACAACGTCCGCACACGCAAGCCTCAATTCTGACCAGGGGCTGTCTTTTTTTTTTTTTTTTTTTTTTTTTTTTCCCCCCCTGATTGAGTAGTTGCCTTATTCAATTTCTTTATTAAAACTTTTAAATTATTTTTAAAATATATTTTATTGATTTTTTCTTTTTTTCTTTTTTTTTTTTTTTACAGAGAGGAAAGGAGAGAGATAGAGAGTTAGAAACATCGATGAGAGAGAAAAACATTGATCAGCTGCCTCTTGCACACACACCCTTCCCCCACTGCCACTGGGGATGTGCCCGCAACCAAGATACGTGCCCTTGACCGGAATCGAACCTAGGACCCTCCAGTCTGCAGGCTGATGTTCTATCCACTGAGCCAAACCAGTTTCGGCTGTTAAAACTTTTAAAATGATATTTCCACAAATACCAGTGGAGACTTCGATCAGTAACTTACAATGAAAATCCACATATCGAAACACATCTCCTTGGCCTACTGACTACTGTGTCTCATGACATCTGCTCCCCTCCCACCCACCGGCAATGATGACTTCCTGAATTAAGGTACTAAATGGCACGCTGATACGCTAAACCCAGATTTTCATGGGGGGCATTTAGTAGGTCCACCTTCTGCAAAACAACGTTGACAGGACGAGCAGAGGGGACATCGGGTGGGAGAGCCATATAGCCAACGTGCCCCCCGGGCAGCTACTTGGGAGCGACAAGGTCCCTCAGAGCAGTCGGGAGGGCAGGACTCCCAAGAGAATAAACAGGGAGATCTTCAACCCGACTAGCAGCAGGATCACTGTGGCCAGAAGGACCGGCCAGGGCTGAATGAAAGGGTCTTCGAGGACCAGGAGTGGCCCCGCTTCTGTCCACGTGCCAGCCGTGGCCTCCCCGGGGCTCAATGAGGTCTGGGGTTGCAGCTGCTAAGCCAAGATAGGCAGGAGGACATCGGCCCCTGAGGCAGAAACTACAGAGGTGGGGCCTGGATGTGGGAGGGCAGGCACAGCTTCCTGAGGCTCCAGGGGAAATACCGGGGCTCTGGGCAGACCCCACGCACTTGTTCACACTCCTTCAGCCCCGTGGTCTCGGCACAGTAGGCAGGATGACGACACCTGACCGGCACAGTGGGTGCATGAAGCAAGATTCTAGTGTTCACCCACCGTGTCCTTAACGGTGACAGGGTAACAACAGATTTGGTCAAAGTTAAGGACCCTCTCCCAAGAAAAATGCACATTTATAGATGCCACCAAAACTTAGAACACGATTACAGGAAGGAATCCGGGACCGTCCAAAACACAAAGGCTCTGATCACAATCCTAAGTCCCCCCTTGGCTCTCTTGGGTCTCTGCAGAGCCCCACATATAGTTAGCGCTTAATTAATACATGTCCAGTAAATAAATGATGACATATGTCCGATGGAAAGAACTAGAGATCAACAATCTAGGAATCTGGGTTGAACGGGACGCGAACGAGGTGGGAGGCAAGGAGGGCAGGCCACCTTCTCTCTCCACCTCCAAGCTGAGTCTCAGGCTTTTCTCGCCGAGGAGACGCCGCTGGCTGCGATTCCAGGCTCCTGGCCCAGGAGGAGGAAGCCAGACCACCTTGGCTATGTGAAAGGGGACTCAGGAGTTCCTTGGCGCCCCCTTGTACCAGCGCCTAGCAGGCTGTCTCAGAGAGGACCCAAGTGGGAATAGTGGGAGAAAGTGGATGAATGAGGATCCACTGACTGCTGGGTATTTTTGCCTGACCAGTGCTCAGACGCTACCTACACTGAATAACGTCACATATAAGTTTTCTTCACCAGATCAGAGCAGACGATGCATCCACTCTCGGTTTCCAGAGCCATCCCGGGAAAGGTTTTGGAAACCAAGAGCCAGTTCCAGGGCCTCTGTTTTTGAGGTATTAGAAAGAACCCTCGGCTGGGAGCCAGGAGATACAGGCATGCCATATTATTATAGTAAGCTGATGGCCTGGAGTTCACCACTTCAACTCCCTCAGTTCCCCATCCTCCCTCTTTTAAAATATATTTTATTGATCTTCCACAGAGAGGAAGGGAGAGGGACAGAGAGCCAGAAACGTGGATGAGAGAGAAATATCGACCAGCCGCCTCCCGCACACCCCCTCCCGGGATGTGCCTGCAACCAATGCACATGCCCTTGACCGGAATCGAACCTGGGACCGCCCCCCAGTCTGCACACCGACGCTCTATCCATGAGACACACCGGTTTCGGCCAGTTTCCCTATCTTTATCTGTAAGTAAAGTGGGACCCCTCTAAGCCCTCTTTCCACGTCATCATCATAAACACCGGACATACTTACACCTGCTCCTTCTTCGCATCCCTCATGATTCCTGACTGTTTCGGCAATCATGACAGCGGAAGTACAGAGACATTTTACCCAGGCAGGATCTGCCTTGGAGGAATTCATCCTTCATGAAATTGCACTGGTTTTTACAACCCCAGGGAGGCAGGCAGGAAGCAGCCAGGCATCTCACCCTCCTCACGCCTGGCTGGCCAGAGGAGACCCAGAGAGGAGAGGCGACTCGCCAAGGTTGGGGCCAATGGCTACACAGGGAATAATGGGGCCCCACCATGACTCCAGGCGGCAGGGAATGGGGTGTGCTGGGACCCAGATTTGGAGGTAGGAAATTCGGAACGATAGGAATTAGAATTATGGAAGGTTAAAACTGGAACTTAAAGGTCTGTTCACCCCAACTCCTTGCTGACTGATGAGGGGACCATTAGGTTCTCTGTTACCAGCTTAGGGCAAAACCCGTTGGAGAGAATGCTGAGCCCAGAACCAAGTCCCCTTCTCACTCAAACCCACAGTTCTTTCTCCCCTTCAGACATGTTTTGCTTAGCAATTCCTTTTTTTGGCAGAGGTTTCCAAAACTAAAAAAGGACGTTGCTTTTTAACCACGACTGCTTTGGCTTTTTCTGCAGTCCTCCTTCACTCCTTTGCTATCAACTTGCTCAAGCTGGTTAGAGGGGGGTGGGGAGACAAGTCTTGATAACAAAGAGAAATTTTATTTAGCTAAACTAACAGTTAAGTAATGTCAGCACCAAAATAATTTTCAATAAAAATTGCCGAAACCGGTTTGGCTCAGTGGATAGAGCGTCAGCCTGCGGACTGAAAGGTCTCGGGTTCGATTCCAGTCAAGGGCATGTATCTTCGTTGCGGGCGCATCCCCAGGAAGGGGTGTGCAAGAGGCAGCTGATCGATGATTCCCTCTCATCGATGTTTCTAACTATCCCTCTCTCTTCCTCTCTGTAAAAAAATCAGTAAAATATATTTAAATAATAATAATAATACACATAAACAAAGTTAAGTCACAAGGAAGGGGTTCACTAAGGACAGAATGAATGGGCCATATCAATAATTCCAAAATCACTTTTGTGGGGAATTTTGGTTAGCAGTTCTGCCACTAAACTCACAAAACGTTCAATCAGTGGACGAGCTATCTTCGTGGTTTTGTATTTTAGTTCCGCAAATGACCAACTGAAGGAACAAGTTATAGATGAAAGAACATTCATCAAAACTTGAAGCTAGTCCTTTACCCTCAATTTGTGTGTGTGTGTGTGTGTGTGTGTGTGTGTGTGTGTGTTTGTATTATAATGAACTGATCAAAAAAGTTATTTTCTATATATAAGCTGTTTCGTGTTGTTCGGACTTAATTCAATCTACCGCTGTCTCAAGCTCTCTCCCTGGGGCCTGCGAGGAAGGCTGAGGGAGTGTTTGGAGTGGGGACCATGGTCTGAGTGGCCAGCTTCCCTCGGGTGCTGGCTCCCACACTTCACTCAGTTAAGCTTTGAACATGAGCAGAACTGGTCCCCGTGCAGGCAGAGTGGGGGGATCATTTCAGAAAGATCCATTCCTATTCCATCTGTGTTTCCCTGGTCGGTAAGGACCCAGTAAGGTTTCGTATTTGGCAGAGACGTGGGGTGGGCGGGTGATAGGAGAAGATGGGGTCTTAGTTTCCTGTAAAAAGATGTTGCGGGGCATGTTGCAGAAAGAATGTCCCTGAGTAAAGGGTCCAGTTTTATTTTACAATCATTCTGATGAAACAAGCCTTCATCTACTTTGGGCTCACTCATTCTTCCCCCCGCCCCCCTGTTTTGGCCAAAGGAATGCCTTAGGTAGGTCTTTATAATTATTTAAATTCCATTTGCCCTTCCCAGAAAGATTTTATAGAACATTGTGCTTTTTACTCACTGTTAAAATCTTTTCTAGACTGAAGCAATTTTAGAGAAAAAGAGCCTGTCCCTTCACAGTTTCTCATTCTTTGTTAATGTACGTAGATGTGTTAACAAGACGCTAATCAATGGGTATTTTGAATTATTCTTTTTTCAATGGACATTATTCCATTTATACATTCCTAACTCCCATACACAGGTCATTTAAAATGGCAAGGATTTCCTCAATCATTGACATGCTCGTAATTACTTAGTCACTCTCTTACTATCTAGCTTTTGTTTTTATTATTAAAAAAACAAACAAAAACACCAGCTAATTTATTTCAGAAGTGATTTAGGATAGTTTCTGTGAGGTTCAGGGCAAGTATGCTAGTTTATTGCGACACATTTCTTTCCAGACGGTGCGACAGAAAGATCAAACCAATTATTCTGTGAATGTTGAATATGAGTACCATTCACCTGCGAAGCGAAGCAAAGCAGAAAACCACTGTGGGGACACCCATGCAGAGTTACATGTCTACTATAATACATCGCACACAGCCTGGAGTGCTCTGGGATCAGTAACCTCTGGTCTCCCTCGTCCTGCTCTTTGGCCAATAGTAATACTAATTTATGAAGACTTTCTTATTTATTAAGACTACGGAGCACTTGATTTACCTTAAAGCATTTAGTTCCGGCAATATCTCTGTCCTACAGCAGAGGAAAC